AGAAGGTAAAATGTACGGGAGTTTCTCCTTGTTCAAATTGCCTCAAGACCAAAATTCGATGCGAATTTACTGGAACCGCAAAGAAACGTGGTCCACGCAATGGTAATGTTGAAGTGATCAAAAGTTCAGCTCGTAGGATTGAAAATGTCCTACGGAAGAATCCGAATCTGAGAGATCAAATTAAACATATGTTGGCGCATAATAACGCTCGTCCTGCTGCTCGCTCGACAAGACTTTCCCCAGTAATTCCTCATGATGAACCAATAGTCATAATAGAAGATAATAGTGGGATCACTACGGACGCTTCTCAGTCTCACGGAATTCCACCTTCAGTTAGGCGAACTTCTTTTCCTTCTAATTCAATTACGTCTATGCAAGAAAACTTTTCTCCGGATGAACGTGGTAAGATTTTTTTCAAATCTCTAAAAAAAATAAAAAAATAAAAAAATAAAAAAAAAAGAGAAATTTTTAATTTTTTCCACCCTTCTTCTCTCCCCTTCCACCACAATGAATTTAGTTTCATATCCTACCTACTATCCCTGTCAAACCAACGTTAGACAAGAGATCATCTATTCACCTCAGCCGCAGACGCCTGTGTTGCTAAAACCCGTTCCTGTGTACCCTATGCGAAATCACGTGGCAAACGAAACCTCGGCGCGAAGTTCTGAAGTAAATTATTTGAGACCTAATCCTACGTATCTTGGATCAAATTTTGTTCCCGTCACACCAATGGATACTTTACAAACAAGCACAAATCGTATGAAATTACCGATGCCCAATCTTATCGCTTGCAAAAAAAGGTCAACTCCTATGCCAATTGTCATTTCCACTTCCGGCATTGAAGTCTTGTTACCTCCAGCACCGGATTTGGCAAATCCGTTTTCACCTTCTCCGCCCGCCAATCAAGTTCAGCATTCAATTGAATTACCTCCATTGGGTCTTTCAGATCCTTATTATAATAAATCATATCCTGATATGAACACACCTCCAATGTCGACTACTCCTTTGCCATCTCCATCATCATTTCAAACCATGGCATCTCCTAATCCAAGTCTTTATAATATGACTTTTGAAAAACCTCAACAAGATTCTTGTAGTCCCCCAACCCCGGCAAATTCCTTGTCTCCACCATTGTCTCCTCGTGATACTTCCCTATATGTCGAGCGTCCAATGGAATGGATGAATGAGAAACATTCTTTCAACTATTCCCAACAATTA